ACGTAACCGACCCCCGAACCCAATTCTGGTTATCAAGGCCATTATTGGACTTTTAAAAACCTTTTCTTTTTCCAATGTTTTGAGTAAAACATTGGTGGCGACTCCATAGAACCTATTTTCAAAACCATTGATTAAGGATTAGTCTGGTGTCCGGGCATTCCTTAATTGATGAGATCTTTAAAAGGATGTTTAAACCATAGGTTGCAAGATCGGAAATTTTCGGGTTGCGACAGTTATAGTGGATGATTATACTATATAGACATGAGTCTTATTCTTAACCCATAAGAATGAATCTTTTAAAGAGTTTTATGTTTTTTGTACACGAGTTCAAAATGAGAAAGGCATATCCATTGCCTCTATCCAGAATGATCATAGGAGTGAATTTGAAGTGAAAGTTATCAAAGGTTTGATGAGGGGAACAAAATTCTCCACAACTTCTCTACACCACATGCACCACAACAAAGTTGTGTAGTTGAGAGAAAAAATAGAAATAGGTCATTGCAAGAAATGGCTAGAACCACATTACGTGTTAATTCAAATCTCAAACATTTTTGGATAGAAGCAGTGATAAGCCTAACATATTATATTTCCAACCTTTCGAATGTCAAAGTTTCATTCTAAACACTAAGGACAACTTAGGAAAGTTTGACTACATCTAACAACCCAAACACACTATAAATGAGAAGGATCCAAAGATTTTTAGAAGTATATAACTATACACTTGAGGATGACTTAATGAAATTAATTAATACTACTTATACCAACACAGGCATATACTTTTTGGTAGTTTGTCACTAAAACTTCACAGTTAAGTGTGTTTGACTCAGAGCAATTAAGGGATGGATGACCTTCTGGGAAGTTTTCTAAGAAGCATGCAAGTGAGGATAAAACACATTGAAAAATCTTGTGTTGATTTATGGGGACATTTATTGATTCTAAAGGTGGCTGGATATTTTAAAAAAAGTTATCCACGAAGGGTTCTGACATGTGAAGGGCTTTAATCAATGAGGAGGAGTTAAGTGAAGTGTTATTATGTGACGTTTCATGGAATGTAGTTGTTGAGATGTCAAAGTTGATGGGTGTTACAAATGGTATCATAATAGGTTCTCTGTCTTAGTACAATGTGGTTCAGGGATGAAACAAGCGAAAAATGGTGGGCTTGTAATAGCCTCAACATGCTAAAATGAGAGTGATCTAGAGATTTATACAAGTATGAGACTATATAGTTAAAGAAGACTTAAATGAATTAATTAGAAAAACATATACCAACAAGATACATCTAATTTTTAATAGCTCATCACTTATGAACATCATAGTTAAGCATGCTTAATTGTGAGAAATTTAGGGATGAATGACCTTTTAGGAAGTTTTCTAGAAAAGTGGAAGTGAGGGTAAAACATGCTGAAAAGTCTTGTGTTGGTTTATGGGGGGTAGTCATTGATCTTAAAAGAGATTAAACATCTAAAAAAGAGCTACCCACAAAAGGTTTTGACCGGTTAAGGATTCTGACCAATGAGAAAATAAGTGAAGTGTCATCATGTGAAGTATTATAGAGTGTAGTTGTTGAGATGCCAAATTTGAAGGGTGTTACAAATGGCATCAAAAATATATTCTCTCTCCTAGTACAATGTTTGTAGATGAACCAAGTGGAAGTTTATGGGCTTGTAACAACCTAGACACACTTGAATAAGAAGAATTAAGACATTTTTATAAATGAAACTGTATAATTAAGGATGACTTAAATGAATTAATTAGTACTACTTGTACCAATAAGATGCACTTACTTTTCGATAGCATATCACTTAAGAACTTCATAGTTAAGCATGCTTGGGATAGGTAGTCTTCTAGGAAGCTTTTCAAAAAGCATGTGAGTAAAGACAAAGCACGCTAAAAACTATTTTGTTGGTTTATGGGGACAGTTGTTAATCCTAAAGGCAATTTAACATCTCTAAAAGGGCTATTGATAGAAAATTCTAACCTGTGTAAGGTCCTAACCAACAAGAAGTTGAGTGAAGTATCACCATTGTTGCGGGTTGCATCAATTGTCCCGTGGCGGAGGCTAGGTGGGCCAAGTCACTGTCGAATCATGGCGCTTGGGCTGCTGCGCTCTTAAGTAAAAATAGTTGCGCCCTGACTATCAGCTATAGCTTTTGGCCCAGTGGTAAGCGCTCGATCCAACAATTGGTATCAGAACCAAGGTCATGAGTTCGATACCCAGCGGGGCAATTGCTGAGGGGGAGATTGTTGCGGGTTGCATCAATTGTCCCGTGGCGGAGGCTAGGTGGGCCAAGTCACTGTCGAATCATGACGCTTGGGCTGCTGCGCTCTTAAGTAAAAAGAGTTGCGCCCTGACTATCAGCTATAGCTTTTGGCCTAGTGGTAAGCGCTCGATCCAACAACCATGTGAACTGTTATGGAATGCAACCACTGAGACCTCAAATATGAGGGGAGTTACACTCTAAGTGTGATGTTAGAACATTGTTAGGCTATTTAGAAACCTCCAAGGCATATAAATTTTGTAACTATAGAACCTTGGTCATGGAAGAAGCCATCCATGTAAGAGTTAATGATAATAAGCTTGATAAGGAATTATCATAGCTAGAAGAGTCTTTTGATGTTTTGAAAATTGAAGATAAAAAGAAAACATCAATGTCCAAAATATCATTAGATGATCAAAGAAGTGAAAAAAGCCTAAGTCATCTAGACAAAACTGACAAATGAAGATGCATCACCAGATGACCATGTTATTAGTGATGTCAAGGACAAAGTAAGAACAAAAATGTCTTTTGAAGAATAAGCTCACACTGATTTCAAGATGAAGAATGGATCAATGCCATGCAAGAGGAGTTAGACCAATTTCAAAAGTATGATGCTTAGAAGCTTATTCCCTTACCAGAAAACAAGTATGTTATTGGAACAAAATGAGTCTTCGTGAACAAGTTGGACGAAGTAGCATAAATTGTGAGGAACAATGCTAGGATTTTAGCTAAAGGATACTCACAACAAAAAATATGAATTTGAGATGAGCATGATATGAGAACTCAAGTTTTTCCTTGGACTTTAGATGAAGCAAGAGGATAATAGGATAAGCATACATTACACAAAATTACAGCAAGGATTTTCTAAAGAAGTTCAAGATAAACGATGTCAAGCCCAAAATCATACATATGCATCCATCAATTGTACTAGGCATGGATGAAGATTCAAATAAGGTGGATCAAACCACTTACAAAGGAATGATATAATCACTCATATACCTCACATCGTCTAGACTAGATATCATGTACAAACATTTTCTTATGTTGTGACACCCTCTACTCCACATGCTAATATTCTCATATAAAATAAAAAGACAATATAGAATTTGAAATAAACTTTAATAAAAAGAAAATTGTTTGTAAAAACTCTTGAATAGAGAAAGTCATATTGGTTAAATATAAACTAAAATGAAGAAATACGAAAACAAATGACTAAAAAAAGTCATTATAAAAACCAAGGAACTAAAATAAGTCCTTAAAATGATGGAAAATAACAAAACATGTAATCCTAACCAAAACCCTGATGCCACATCCCATCCTAGCTCAACAATAAAAAAAAATAAGGCCTAAGCCTCATC